GACCTAAGGATCGACTCCGTACTTCTTGAACGCTCTAATTACTGGCCACTGGCATGAATGAATTAAATTAAATAAAATGATATGAGAATCTGTAAAAAGATATGGAAATTATGAAAGTTTGTTGCAATTTTTCACAATACATGTATTTGATGAGTTATTTTATATTTGCGTCAGTATGATGAGGACATGTATTAATTAAAGTTGTTAAACAATTTATGCATGAAATTTTCTACATTTATTTAGTTTTATTTTAAAATAATGTTTGAAGGAAAAAAATGCACTGAAATGCCAGAAACGAAAGCTTGATCATTTCAATCTTTTTTTTTTCATTAATTAATCCTTAAAACAATTCATTTTACCCTAAATGTTAAATTAAGGGAACCAAAGGTTCTAATATATTCATGTGGTGACCGAACATATTTATTTTAAGATAGCTTTCTATACATGCATATGTGGTTCCATTTAGGCGCTCTTCCAAGTTAGATGTGCATTTTTTTTAGCAGAAATGTGTTTGAGATATTTGAGGAACAATTAATAAACCTATTGTGAGTTGCAGATATGAGCGAGTATCAGTAAATTCTGAATTCATTGTACTTTCTTCGCATAATTTGAAAATAATCTTATCAGCATGCATTTCAGCGATATCAAGTATCAAATGAAAAAGTTAAATTTTACAACAAAAACTGTCATGAAATCGTTGTGTTTTGAAGTTAGAAATTGTGATTTTATAATTTAAAATCTTATACTCTGTGGTTAATTATCAAATTTTGCTAATCTGGAATAAAATTGAACTCACAATATTTTTTTTAAACAAACACTAACTTTTCTTAAATTATATGGTAAAAAGGGAAATGATGAATCACTTTTGGCATTGTACTGTAGATTGTGGGACATAAATCATATGCTGAAAGATAATGAAATAGACTTTATCTTTGGATCCCCATTTTTGCCAAATTTCCAGTAATTTACTTATTTCTATAAGGTTGAAAGACTTCGAGAATTGTACAGTAGTTTTACCTTTTTGTTTGATATATATATACTGTTCGAAAAGAAAAAAAAAGAAGAACAGAATAACAAAATATCTTTCACTCTCTACTTCTCTTAATATCTTAAGCCCGCTAGTCATTGCTTAATACCAAGTTTTGAAAACACATACAAGAGAAGATTGCCCTATATTAAGTCAACTGAATTCGCATGAAAATCCTAATATTTCATGTACATGTATTTGTGTGGCTTTTTTCTTACACTTTTTAAAGGGTAAATTTTATTCGAGGCACGATAGAATTCTCAAAAACAAATGAAATATATGGGTAACTTTTGTTCGTCACAGTCCTATAATTATAGCTTTGATAAATTAGCATCCTTTCAGTAGTTTTTGTGTCCGAGATAATAAGGCAATGACTTTTGTTTTCAGATAGAACCGTAATAAACTTTGCAAAATGGCATCGTATCTGCCTTCAACAACTCTCTTTTATGTGAACTTTAAGAGGACGTGATTTTTTTTTTTTCCATTCCGAAAATATATCTTTTTCTAATATAGTATCGTCAATAGATACTAGAAATTCAAATAATGAAAAGACACATAAAATTTCAATAAACTGTGTAAGTATTATTGTATAAAAATTCCACAAAACGTCTCAAATAAAACATTTAAAGGTCAAGGTTTTCAACCGGTCGGTTTTCCTCAGGTAAGTTTGGTGTGGGGTGGAGCTTAATTGAAACGGCTGTGAAGCCCCGAGGGAACCAAGCTGGCTTGTGTATACCTACCTATATACACAGGATGTTACCTGTATATTATCTGTAAATGTTTTCCTAAGACATAGTTTAACTTTGCGTGTTGGTCAATCGAAATGTTGATCGTCTAATTTATGAAATAAAACATGCTAATTTTTTTTATGTAGACTGATTACTTTAGTTCAATTCTTTTTTTAAAATATGTTTGAATAAAGGAGACAATTTAAGTTTAATTTTTGCATTAATAAATTTAATGCAGTTCTGCAACAAGGAATACGCAGTCCTTGAATCATGTTAACTGAATTTTCGGAAATGAAGAAATTTGGGGATCAACGCTTTCCAAGCAGGGAGTATCTCGTATTTAGGGAATACCAAATTGGAACATCTCGTAAAAAGCGTTTATCACACATGCAACAGCGAAGAAACTTCCGAGAGTGCGTTGGTTTAACAATAATTATTTTATTTCCTAAGATGGTAAGGTGTAATGTGAATCCATTATTCATGAATATTTTCCCCCAAATTTTTTTTACTTTTACTAAATTTTATTGAATTTTTACATTTACACAACGTAAAAAAGGCCGTGTGTACGAACTGACTTTTTGCATTTGTTTCATGTTCAGCAAACTTTATGTACGAATTGACTTCTGTGGTTTGCATACGAATTGACTCCTTATATACGAATCAGTTTTTGTACGAATTAACATTAAGTCGGCGTAATTTAATGAATATTCATGAGGCGAGAAATATTATAACGGCAAATATCAGGAATTAAACTTTGCACCCATCAACAAAGTGTCATTGAAATAACTTGAGAACCATGTACATTTTATGTTCGAACATCGACACGACCCCACTTTCATTATTTTGTCTCTGCAAAAATCGCCGCTAGGGTCCCCGTGATTTTACACTGTTGTTTATTCATCGCCCAGACCAGCAGCAATAGCCTGTGGCTATAAATAGCCACCGTCTAAAGATAATTTAGAGTTGTACCTTGTGGCCCCATCCTTCCCCCTCAAGTTGTGTTCAAATCATGACTCCCGGGACTAGGACGCAGCTACAATGGGTGATCAAATTTTCACATAGGAATTAACATAAAGGAAGAATATTTAAAGATCTCCTCAAGAACAGCAAAGCCATGATTAGTTATATTTATATGGAAGTATTCTTAGGTAGTGTAGATTCAAGTTTTTTCAATCATAATTCAAAGAAGTAGAGATGGACCACATCAGGGGAACAAATTTCTACAAAGGAATATATAGGAAAAATCATTAAAAATCTTCTAGAGAATAGCAGAGCCATGACTTATTATATTAATATGAAGGCATCCTCAGGTAGTGTAGATTTGGCTTAATCAAATCATGATCCCCTACCCTGCCCCTAATTTTTGCTTTTCTCTAACCAAAGTGATCAGGTGATCAATGTGGCCCACAGGTCTCTTGTTTACATTGTGATGAGCAAATAAAAATATACTGCTTAGTATATAATACGATAAAGTTTATATTTATGCCATATTTGGTGAGAGGTACTTCACTCAAAATATATTTAATGTTAAAACCAATTCTTTTAGAAGTTGTTGTATAGATATGCATACACTAATTTCTTTATAAATCTTATATGTCATTACAAGTTACAAATGCATGTTGAATAGTTTCAATACCCACCTTACAAAAATAACATAAATCAGATGTTTTAATATTAATTTTTTCCTGAGATAGTAGCCTACAGGAATAATTCTTATTTCTATGAAGATGTCGAGTATTAAAGTCATACTGTACAGAAGAATCATATGTTGTCTAGAAACACACTTTAAATACTTCTTTTATTTATATATCATTCACTCCATGAGGAGACAATGCTACATATATTTTTTGTTTATCAAATTATAAATGATTTTTGTATATTTAACATTTAACAGAATATTTTCAAAATAAAGGAAGGGTTCATAAGAAAGACAACCTTTTTCATTGATAGTCTCTCAATACTTAGTATCGTGATTACCTCACTGTTAGAGTGTTTGCTCTAGAGTTGTGGAGAAAGGAGTTGATCCTTACGTTGATCCTTACAATGCGGGTTCGAATCCCACTGCAAGACGTGGAGACCGGTCTTCAGATGAGACTGTATAAACCAAGGTCCCGTGTTACAGTAGGTGCTAGCACGCAAGAGATCCCTCACTGCTCAAAGGCCGTAAGTGCCAAGTACAGGTATAAATTTGCAGCCCTCCACCACCAAAAGGTGGTGTCTCAATATGAGTGAAAAATTTTTAAAAGGGATGTTAAACAAACAAACCTCACTGTTATCTGCTGCCACTCTTTTGTGATAAAGTCAAGGAAGCTCTAAATCACACAACATTTTGGGAACAAAGCATTGTTAACACTAGTGATAATCCAATATTTTAAACAATCACTATCCCAAAAGTAAAATGTAAGGCTCACGGTTGCACTTTAAATAGTAAGTCATCTTATTTGGAATGTTCCATTTTCCCAAGTCAAGGGTTTCTGATCCACTCCACTTCACATAAAACCCTTGACCGTATAGACTAAGTTTGACAGGGATTACTGTTGCACCATCTAGTGAGATTACACATTTTGAACTCTACTGACATCTGCTATTGGCCAATCAAGGTAAGCGAATTAAACTGAGAATTCTAGACAATATTGGAAGTTGGTTATAAATTCAACTAAAAAGCTGAGACAAACCTTTAACTGGGCTATTTAATGATAAAGATGTAATCATTGGAACAAAAACTGGGGTGTTTTTCTGTTTACGATTTAGTTTCAAGTTAAATAAAACATCGTTTTCGATTAGTTCATGCAAACTTGCATGAGACCAATCAGAGAGCGCATTTCTAACCCCGTCAAATTTAGTTTATTCGGTCAAGTGATAATATCTGGAGCAGAGTGGATCAGAAACCCTTGACTTGGGAAGGTGGGAATGTTCAGGCTTTAATATAACACTTATCAGAAAGAAATGGTTGAATTCAATTAAACATACTGTTTAAATGTGGCAACCATAATTTTATTATTTCTTAATTATCTTCCCCTGAAAGAAGGTGTGGATATTTATTTGAACACAAATGCTATGATTGATTGAAACTGGCCCAGTGTTTGGTGAAAAGAAGTTGTGAAATTGTGAAAACTTCATAGCTAGACTACACTTACATGTATTAGACAGAGAAATAGACAAATAGCAGATAGTCTTCAATCAGAAAAGCTCATTTGAACCTTTGGCTCAGGTGAGGTAAAAAGGTTAAGAAAATAACCACTTACATTTGGCTGGGAGCTTATAACCTGTAAAAAAAAATCACAGAATAACCCATGACAAAATGAACTATTATGTTTAATAGTAATATTTAGCAGTTTTTTTTTTAACCAGTTCTTCAAAATTGATAAGTAGTGTTCAGCTTGAACTTGTCACAATGATCTTGGATCAAGTCATGACACATCCTAAGGTCATAAAATCTTTGTACTAAAGTATTACTTTCTAATGATTCTCCATTATAAAGTTATATCCCAGATAATATTATTTTATATTTCTGCCAGTGACCTTGAACTTGTCAGAATGACCTTAGACCAAGGTCATGACAAACTATCAGGTCATAAACAATCTTTGTACCAAGTATGAGCCTCCAATGATTCCCCACTTATAAGTTAAAGCCTAGACAAGAATTTTATACTTTTTCTACCAGTGACCTTGAACTTACAGGGATGAACTTGGTTCAAGATCATGAGAAACCCTTATTTCATAATCAATCTTTGTTCCAAATATGAGCTTCAAATGATTCTTCATAACAGTTATAGTTCTGACAAGAATTTTCTACTTTTTCTGCCAGTGACCTTGAATGTGCTGGAATGACCTTGGTTGAGGTCATGACACACCCTCAGACCACGAACAATCATTGAACCAAGTATGAACTTCTGAAGATTCTCCATTATGATGTTATAACTTGGACAAATTGCACAAAACAGGAGGATGGTCAGACAGGTGGACAAGGTGATCCCTATATACCCCTCCAGACTTTGTTTGGTGGGTATAATAAGAAATGTTTGGGAAAAATATACCGGGTATGCAGTATACCAAGTCTGATGTCTGTAAAGCAAAAGGTTCTCAAGATATTGAGTGGTCAGTATCTTCCTCTGTCTAATTTGACCCTTGACCTTATGACATCAAAATCAAAGGGTCATTTACTCCTTATGGGGAACCAATTTACCAAGTTTGATGTCTGTCAAGTAAATTGGTTCTGAAGATATTGAATCCTATACTAGTCTAGTTTGACCTTTGACCTTTTGACCTGAAGATACTGAATCCTACTAGTCTAGTGACGTCTATGATGTCTTCTTTAAGCCATAGGTGGTTACAAATTAAAATTTTATTGCAAATGATTAAAGGCTTTTTGAGAGATAGTTAAGAAATAACAGTGTTACACACAGACAGAATGACGGACCAAGTTATATCCCCCACTTTTACTGAAAGTGGGGGTTCTCACTTTTACTGAAAGTGGGGGCTATTAATTTGGGTCTGTCCATCAACAAATGAAAAACAAAGGAAGATGAAAGACAAAAACAGATACCAAAGGGTCACTTGAGTGACTAAGGTGACCTAAAAAAAATATGTATGATTTTACCAGCTGTAATTTTGGCATCCCCTGTATCACAACCATTTAGTGTTGCACACTCAGCAACCAATTTCTTACCAGCAGCAGAATGAATGGCACCATCAACTATAATTTCAGTAAATAAAAATTCTTAAAAAATTGCAAAAAGAAGTTAAACATATACAATAGAGCTCAAGAGTAATTGCCACCACACAGTGGAAAACACATTACATGTATATAAAATACTCTGTGTTCCATTGTGTACAGTGTTCCATGGCATACACAGTGTTCCATAGTGTGCGTATATCTCAAATTCCTAAAGGTCCATGATGGCACATGGTGCAGATCCTTGGTGGAACACCATGAGAATCTAACTCTGACTGATTTACACAATGCAGATCATGCCAATCAATTGTGTGATTAATTCATTGATTTATAAGTTCAATTGAACCTTGAAAAGGGAGTGGTAAATAGTGGTAAATAGTTTAACTCATCAATCTTTCATTATATTTCTGCTTTGTGAATAAATCAAAAAATGATTATATCTAAAAAACAAATAAATTTCATTGAAATAGGTAGCAATATCCAATTATGTTGATTATAAAATAATTTTGCATTTATAATCTCTGTCTATATTAACACTGAATTGGTCTAGTTCTGAAATAAGAAATATACATACTTTATACCGTATAAACAGAAATTATAGCTAGGATTCAATTTTTGCATTTTTAGCGAGGACAAATCGCTAAATTTGAGTCTCACTAAAAATTCCACTCATACAGTATGTATCTTAATTTTCTTTTGATATCTCCTTAGATACTATATGCTGTAATTATTTAGCAGATTCAGCTATCAATACAGTGTCATCAGAATATGACAGTAGCTTTGCACAGACACCAGTTGTGTGTTGACATGGAACACAAAAACTGACGAGCAAATTCAAAGAATAGTGGTCCCCCGCTTTTGGTGTCTTAGTGGATGGGATGCATTATTTATGGCATATTGTAACTGTCTCATCTGTGTGTCCTGTCCTGTCTTGTCTGTGCATTATACAAAAAAGACATAAATTATTGAATTAATAAAAGTTATGGCAAATATTATAGCTTCTCAAAACTACATCAAACTTCAAGATCAAGGTCATGAGGTCAAATATCTTAATACAATTCGAAAGGTCTTGTCACAAGAAATGTACATGTAAAAAAAAAATCAAAAACCAGAGTATACAATTGGAAAGGTCTTGAAACAGGTAATACAAATGTCAAATGTAAATGCCATATCTTCTCTCAATCAAAAGTTATCAGCAATGTTAAAAGTTTTGAAAATTAGGTCGAACTTCAAGGTCATAGGTTAAAAATCAAAGAACATTTGGAAATGCTTGTCAAAGGTAATGCATGTGTCAAATATGAATGCCCTATCCTCACTCTTTCAAAAGTTAGCAACACTGATGAAATGTTTGAAAATTAGGTCAAACTTGGAGGTCAAGGTCAGGGGGTAAAATATCAAAGCACATTTGGAAATATTTTGACACAGGTAATGCACTTGTCAAATATGAACACCCTATTATATGTCATTCAAAAGTAATCACCAATGCAGCTATGTTAAGGCTGCATGAAGGGGGCGGGGCCTAATTTATACGGGAAAAGTTTACTGTGACATCACACAAATATAGCAATTCCTCACAATAACAGAAAATGAAATAATTTGCGAATCTAAACTGCATAAGAGTAATGTACTACATCAAAACTTACCACTGCATTCATTTTTGTCGCAAGTTAAATCCCACACAGCAAGATATAAACAAGTCACTGATCGCAATGCACTTGTCGACATGATGTCATCATGTAAAGTTTGACGCATTTTATGTGCAGTGAGAGGCGGATCAAGTAATTTTTTCACAGTGAAAAATGCATTTTATTATTAAACAGAATATTACTTGCAAATCTTAGGTAGACCATTAATACAAATCTGAAATGTTTGTTTAGTGTCATTATTTAAAAAATATCGAGAGAATGTATTGAATTAATTCTACCGTGTTTTTGTCTACAGGGTGTGCATGTTTCACGCCGAGGTGCCTCATTAAATCGCCTTTTCGCAAGGGCATACACTTAATAGATCGGGACCATTTTTTTTAATACACTTAACGGACATATTCCTTAACTTGAAAAGTGCTGCTGCTTTCCTGAAATCGATAGCATAATTTAATAAATACATAAAATACTTGGTAAAGGTCACACATATTTCGACATTAGCCAGATAACTTGAAATTAAAACTAATAAAATGCGAATTCTATTTAAAGCAGCAGCACTTTCCATTAACTACAAGTTATGTAGAAACAATCTATTACTTTAATTTTTGATTTTTACTAGGTTATGCCCTTGCGATATTGAAATTTGTTTGTGATCTAAATACAGTACACTTACATGCATTTATCACGTGACTGTCAAATAACGTGACCAAACCAAATTCAGTACAGAGCGGGGTATACAATGTTATTTCAAAGAATGTTAAAGTCATAAGATAATATAGTACCTTTACAAAAATAAATTCAGTTTAAAAAGGTATGTATTTATGCACGTTTATATTCTGCTGATTTCTTCGAAGTACGCCTTAACAGTGCAGCGAAAGTAAAAATTTTTGAAAATTAGGTCAAACATGAAGGTCAAGAACAAGGGGTCAAAAATTATAGCATGCTCTGAAACACTTTGTCACAGGTAATGCACATGTCAAAAGTGAAAGCCCTATCTATTCTCAATCAAAAGTTATAAGCAAAGAAAAGATTTTTGAAAAGTAGGTAAAACTTCAAGGTCAAAGTCATGGGGTCAAAAACTATAGTATAATTGTAAATGTCTTGTCACAGGTAATGTATAATTGTAATATGAAAATCCTATCTTTTCTCATTCAAATTTTATGACCAATTTAAAGTAAAGTTAAAATTTTTTAGAAGTAGATCAAACTTCAAGATCAAGGTGTCAAAATCATAATTTATTTGGAAAGATCTTGTCACAGGTAATGCACATGTCAAATATGAAAGCCCTATCTCTTCTCAATTAAAAGTTATAAGCAAAGATAAAATTTTTGAAAAGTAAGTCAAACTTTGAAAAGGTCTTGTCACAGGTTATATACATGTATAATATGAAAGCTCTATCTTTTCTCATTCAAAAGTTGTGACCAATTTAATGTAATGTTAAAACTTCAAGGTCAAAGTCACTGGGTCAAAAATCATAGTATATTTGGAAAGCTCTCATCACAAGTAATAAACAAGTGAAATATGAAAGCCCTATCTCTTCTAATTCAATAGTTATGACCAAGGTTAAAGTTTTTGTGGCAGACAGACTGACAGAAGAATGAGATTTAATGTCCCCTCGCTTTTGCAAAAGTGGGGGACAATAAATGTCAGTCGGAATCTTCCAGATACTGGTACATTCTGCAATACCATTCAGAATGAGTTATTTATGAACTTCAGGCTTAGGGTTCAGTAGAAACCGAACTTCAAAGATGCTGATCTTTTTAAAGTTCCATGCAAAATCAAAGGTCCACTGTGACTGGTTGAAACAAGTAATTACTCATGAGCTGTACTGTAGCTGTCTATCCTTTAAATTTTTAAAATACAATTCTTTTCATGTATTCACATTTTTAATGAGGTATTCTAATGCATGAAACTTGCCTCCACCACCTCCTAAGAGAGAGCCATTGGCAGCATTAGCAATAGCATCAATTTCTAGGGTAGTAATGTCTCCTTTCCAAATAGAAACTCTCTGATTTATGTCCTCATTAATACTATACCTCACAGGTAATTTCTTCTTTAAAACTGCAAAATCAAAATTCATGTAATAAAATCATCAAAACTGTAACTCAACTAATTCTTGCTGAACAATTTAATTCTGCCAGTACACCATTTTATACGTCAACAAAAAACAAGAGACCAGTGGGCCTTAATAATCACCGGAGTATCATGAGTTTCTCAGGCTATGATGAGCAATTTGGAAATGCTCTAGACTTACATGATAAAACTTATATTGTATAGTGAGAACTGTATAATCATCATCATATTCATCATCATGACATGTGCCTTGTCTTCTAGAAGTTCAGGAGTAAAGAAGACCTAGTGGCTATAAATTTCACAATTTTGAAAGAAGCACTCTTGCTCATCATAACCATGCACTCAATTTGTATTCTAGATACATCCAAGAGCAGGAAGAACATTTTCAAAGAATTAATGCATTTTCACTATATGGCCAATACAGCCCTAGCCTAACACCAGACCCCCAGACACTGGGGCCATGAATTTCACAAATTTGGAAGAGGAACTCTTGTTCATCAAATCTATGCACCTAGTTTATCTGCTAAATATGCAGTAGGAGGGAAGAAGATTTTCAAAGAATAAGAGCATTTTTGCATTATGTTCTAAAGAGCGCTAGCCCCACCCTAACATCAGAACCCCTGACCCTGGGGCCATGAATTTCATAATTCAGGGCTCAATGTTTATTACAATCATGCAACAGTTTAACTGTTTTATGTTCTGGAGTAAAGAATATGTTAAAAGATTGCATATATTTTGATAGGTTTTAGGCCTTTTAACCCCGACCCTCAGGACCTGCTGGGGGGAGGGGGGGGGCACAGGTAGTAGGGACCATGAAATTCACAATTTTTGTTTCCCTACACCCATAGATGCTATTTGCCAAACTTGCCAAATTTGGTTGAAATTGGTTCAGCTGAAAATGTTCAAATGATAATGCACAATGAACAACAATGGACAAAAACTGATAGCAATAGGTCACCTGAACCTATATGTTCAATGGAGCCCTGCCTTAACTTTAGATTTCCTGACCCAAGGGACATGAATTTCACAAATTTGGAAGAAGCACTCTTGCTCATCATAACCATGTACTTAGTTTGTATTTTAAGCATTTTTACTAAATAACTAGGGATATCAACGAATAGTCTACTATTCGACTATCAGTCGAATGGACCGACGATCAAATAATGAAACTACATTCAAATATTACTATAATTATTATTATTAAATAAATGCAATGTAAGTGATAACGAGAAGGAATTCTCATCTCAAAACTGAGATACCGTCTTTCCTCAGAAACAGTCGATAAGATAATTTTCCTCAACCAAAAACGATTGACTTTCCATGTACATATAGAAAGTACACTAATTGTAAGGGCTTCACTATTGTGAGAATTATTTGTCAGTTACTGTCTGTGTTGTTTTTGTAATAAATTACCCATCAAATTACTGGGCTTTCTTTGTAAAATTATTAATTGGGCTTGATCCTATAGTGTGTACCAATTATATTTTGTTACTTTAGGATTGCTTCAATCCAAGGAACACACCATAGCTGTGACATGTTTTGACACTTCGATAATTATTCATTTAAAACAATTCGCTTACATTTTACGTCGGACATTTTGATAGCCGGGGCAATGAATAATTGAATAAGCTGCAGTATATTACTGTATAACAATATCACGAGCACCTGATGTGTTGATAGTGTGAGATCCCCCCCCCCCCCTCATTTATTTCATAATAAGCATTAAAAAAAAAACGGCTGTCAATTTTTAGTAATGCTTACTAAAATAAAAATTGACTGTACAGATCGATTTATGAATTTGCTTGATCAGGAGATAATACTTTATGGAGAATTCGGTGTCTTAATTTATTTCGCATAACTATGCTATCCACACGTAATGTTGCATTATTTTGAAAAGGCTCCTGTGTAGTATCTGAGTCTAAAATTATCACATGTATGCCAGGTATCATGTCAACAATAGCATACATTGCAGCCACTGTATAAACAAGAGGCCCATGGGCCTTGAATCGCTCTTCTGATAAACTGTACAACCTATCACTTCTATTTGAAGCTTCGAAGTATCCTGTATATTTACATAAACCCTTGAAATTCCAATTCACACTCTGAGAACCCAAGATGATTCTATGCCAATTAGTACCTGAGAGTTGGTCATGGTGACCTACTTATCACTTGTCATTCTCTGAGGACCCATCAACTAAGTTTGATGATTCTAAGCCAATTAATACCTAAAATGTTTTTTAAAATTATAATCATAAAATTTTATAAGTAGGTCAAAGTGACCTACTTTTCAATTGTTTTACTCCAAGGACCCAAGATGCATCAACTGACAAAGTTTGATGATTCTAAGCCAATTAGTACCTGTAATATTTAATTAAAGCCATAAATTTTCAAAAGTAGGTCACAGTGACCTACTTTTCAGTCAACCTACTCCGAGGACCAAAGATGCATCAACTGACAAATTTTGACGATTCTAAGCCAAATAATTCCTGAAAATATTAAATACAGCCATAAAATTTCAAAAGTAGGTCACCGTGACCTACTTTTCAGTTGTTGTACTCCGAGGACCCATGACGCATAAACTGACAAAGTTTTATGATTCTAAGCCAAATAGTACCCGAAAATATTTTATTAAAGCCATAAATTTTCCGAAAGTAGGTCACGGGGACCTACTTTTTTAGTCGACCTACTCCGAAGACCCATGACACATCAACTGACAAAGTTTGATGATTCTAGCCAATAAGTACCCAAAATATTTAATTACAGCCATAAATTTTCAAAAGTAGGTCACAGTGACCTACTTTTCAGTCAACCTACTCCGAGGACCAAAGATGCATCAACTGACAAATTTTGACGATTCTAAGCCAAATAATTCCTGAAAATATTAAATACAGCCATAAAATTCCAAAAGTAGGTCACCGTGACCTACTTTTCAGTTGTTGTACTCCGAGGACCCAAGACGCATCAACTGACAAAGTTTAATGATTCTAAGCCAATTAGTACCCGAAATATTTTATTAAAGCCATAAATTTTCCAAAAGTAGGTCACGGTGACCTACTTTTTAGTCAACCTACTCCGAAGACCCATGACGCATCAACTGACAAAGTTTGATGATTCTAAGCCAATTAGTATCCGAAATATCTAATTAAAGCCATAAATTTTCAAAAGTAGGTCACGGTGACCTACTTTTTAGTCGACTTACTCCGAAGACCCAAGATGCATCAACTGACAAAGTTTGATGATTCTAAGCCAATTAGTACCTGAAATATTTAATTATAGTCATATAAATTGAAAAGTAGGTCACGGTGACCTACTTTTCAGTTGACCTTTTTTGAGGACCCAAGATGCATCAACTTACAAAGTTTTATGATCATAGGACTTAAAATGTCCAAATTATGCCTCTAAAACACTTTGAAATCGAATGCCTGCAAAGTTCAAAAAGTAGGTCACTGTGACCTACTTTTTAATAAATATGTTTTATGGCCCCAAGATGCATCATCTTACAAGATTTAATGATTCTAAGCCTCCCCGTATTCAAATTAATGACCTTAAGTGTTTTAAAAAAGATTAGCCATAAAATTCAAAAAGTAGGTCAAGGTGACCTACTTTTTAGTTGACGTACTTTGAGGACCCAAGATGCATCAACTGACAAAGTTTGATGATCATAGGCCTTAAATTGTTCAAAATATGCCTCTAAATCATTTTGAAAAAGAATGGCCACAAAATTTAAAAAGTAGGTCACCGTGACCTACTTTTGAGTCAACATGATATGAGGTCCTTAGATGCACCAACTGACAAGATTTGATGATCCTAGTCCTTATAGTAAGCAAAATATCAACATTTTAATAAAATGTAATTTTTGGTCAACTTTGAAGTGACCTTGAGACCACGCCCTTTGCCCCAGGGTAAATCCCCGTGCAAATTTTAATCTGCAACATATCCTCATCCTTTTGTGTAAGTTTGGTGATAATCTGCCCAGTGGTTCTTGAGAAGAAGATTTTTTAGCAACCAGTACTTTTTTTTCTATTTTCCTAATTATCTCCCCTTGTTAAAGGGTCACAACCCCAGTTTTAGTATAAAAGGGAGCCCTTGGGCCAAGGATACCCTGTGACAAATTTGACATTAATTGGCCAAGGGGTTCTTGAGTTATGGCCCATATTCTAAAAAGTTTACGCACACCGCACAAATGGCCATAGCATTAGCTCTTTGAGCCTTTGGCTCAGAAGAGCTAATAAACAGACCATATTACCCATGGGAAGAAACAAATTGAGATATACTAATCCATGTAAATTTTAGCCCTAAAAGACCTAAATAAATATTAAATGAAATATACTAATATGACTGTCATATATCTTTAAATTAAATTTCATTTTATCAACCTGATTTTCGCAGCCTGTCTTTGTGATCATTGTAGAAATTTGGCCATGTTGGAATGTCACTTAGCTGTTTGTATTTCTTTCCACATTTGTAAAGTTTTCTTTTTTCTTCTCTTGTCATCTTTAAAAACTTTTCTGAAATGCAACAAAATATAATTAAAGTCATGATTCACACTTGTCTTGCTGTTTAAAGAAAATTAAAAAAAAAAAAAAAAAATCCCCTCTCTATTCACATGAAAAAATTTGACCAAATATTGTATTACGTAATTTCATGACGCATGCTGGTCCATTCAAATTGCTTTTTCTGGACATTTTCAAAAACATATTTTCCTTGATTTTTCATATATCATTCTAATAACACATATTAGTGACATCTGTATACAGAAAATGATGTAAGTAGTTTCGCAGTTACTTCACATTTAAATTTCATTCAGTTTTGACTTGTTTTATAAAAAATATAACATTCATCATGTTCATATCCAAAAACTTTTTGACAAAAGTTCCAATATTTTAACCCTTGGCGACATTGCCACAGTATACCAGACTGACCGGATGTGCCTCGCTGTGGTCCGGATACATATCAGAGAGACTTCACCAGAGTACACCCGATAGACCGGACGCAATTCATAGCGCTCCGGATTTCTTTCTTCACAACTGTTTATAAACTTCAAATTAAAGATGTACATTGTAACACTGTAAATATTTAGTGTTTGGTACTTTATTAGTAGTGCTAGTTGTTTTTGTTTTTCTGTTTCCTTTGTTTTTATGACTTCTTAACTTAATTTTTTCTTTGTCCTGAGGAAGGGACAGGTCGTCCCGAAATTTGACAATTTTTATTGTTCGTGTTGTTGGTCATTTTTAGTGCTTTATATAAATTTCTATCCGTGACCTTGTATCTAAATAGTAGATCCGACACTTAGGATATACAGTGTTGTTGGTTTTTAGTGCTTTATATATATAAAAGCTTCTGTCTCGTATCTCGCATATCTTTTAGGTCAATCTGGAAAGAAATTAGAGCACAAATTTGTCCGCTGCTGAAAAAATCTTACCCTTAAGCCTACCTGATACATGAAAAAAGTCAGTTATATGTTTTCGGTGCATCGAGGTCATAAAATTGTAAAAACTACAAAAACATTATCCTGAGACATCAGTATCACTGATACGCTCATGTAATATCAACCAATACATTTAATGTTACTAAATAAACATGCTTAACTCACATGCCAATACATAATGGCGTTTATAGCCATGGTTTAAATTACTTGTCTACCACAAAATAATTCAACAGCAATCGAAATCTTTCACTGCTTGCACAAGAAATAAGAACTTTAATTTCAAAATTATTTTTCAACTAGTTCAGCTCATTTCTTCCGTTTGAGATTAGTAATCGATTTACTTTGACCTTCTTTACTGCAAACTTCTCTCTTTGTTTACACACATAGGCAGTGTTCTCTGTGTTGAATGATTCATCACTAACGCGGGAAAACTGCTGTTCATTAGCACAACAGCACAAGAATTAGTTTATTTATATACCACCAGCACGTCAATCTTGTAAAAATAACCTGGTTTGTACAATGTTCAATTCTGTGAATTTTCTTTAAAAATCTGTTTTCAAAATACTGCTTATTATAGAAAACATTTATTGATTCATAAATCAAAACTTTGTTTGCACTATATGTCACTTTTGTTGACCGCATGTCCCTATCACTATTTTCTCTCACGAATTGACACAAATTCCAATAAAATAAATCATAAATATCTAAGTTAATTTATACAAACTTCAAAGCACTTCAGGGAACATTTTCTTGTTCTTTACATCATGAAAATTGTAAATAAACCAATGTTATACAAGAACCTGTAAGCAAAATTCTCAAATGAAAATGTGATTAGTTTCGATACATTGGGGAATCCCTTACATGTCACATAACATGAGTTGATACCATCAACTCATAAAAAGCAGGATTGCAAATAACCACTCACCCACTCACAAATGCGAGTAATTTTGCCTGTCGGCAACCATCTCTTGAGGATGTTATCACCAAAATGGTAAGAATTTTATCAGACCTTTTCCAGAACCTTATCGTGGTTTGGTTCCACTGCTAAATGTAATTTTGTTTTTACTGTTTTCTACCTATAAAACATTTTCAAGACCCAGAACCATGTCAATAAATGTATTAAAATTATTAAAAGTATTAAAAGTATTAAAATTCCTTTAACATGAAATATAGAGATAACAAACAGTATTCAAGCTCAAAAGTCCATTCAAACAATACAAATCAGAAGCAGGGCAAACACGGACCTCTAAACATCAGAGGTGGGATTAGGTGCCATGGAGGAGTAAGCATCCCCTGCCAACTGGTCACATCCGCCTTGTGCTCCTTGTCATGATTGGGGAAAATGGAAAAATCTGTTGACAATTCAGGGTGTAAATTATGGCCTAACAATTAATACGAAAAACGTCAGTTAGCATAGAAGATTGTATTTGCTGACAAGGTCATTGTAATGACCATAGAACTTGCGAAATGATGACTTTAAACAAGACTGTTGATATTCTTGTTTTATCAACTTGTTTGTTAATAGCTTGCATCATTTTAGAAATTGCTTGTACATAGAGTATGCTCTTGCACATCGAATCAACTGAGAGACAAAACCCATACGCAGGTGATAAGGGTATATTCCTTTCATGTTTCAATGGTAGTGGGTTTTTGTCTATAGGAAAAATTGAAAAGACTGTGGACAGCAGAGTATATTTCTCTGAGATCATGATAAAAAAGATTGAGAATTTTTTACTAAGAGAACAGAGAATTATGGGCCCCAAAATATCAATGTGGGCTGGTAAAACTTGTGAAGATGGAGGCCAACATGGCCCCTAAGGTTTTAAATTCATTTGCAACCATGAAGTAAGTTTCAACTGTGTCTAGTAAGGACAAAAGTTCATACAACAAGCACTTGTTTCTGTAAAAAAATTTTGACCCATATATAGTACAATAGTGTGATAGTTTTTGTATTTTGTCTTATTTTTAGCTATAGGTATTTTCCCTATATTGTATGTTTTTATTACTTAGAGTTATCACCCTTTGAAGAGAACTGTCCAGGTTATGCGCCTTCTGGCTTCGGACCCATCGGGGTTTCACTGTTGACAAATAGTATTGTCAGATATACCTCTCACAGTTCAAGTTAGATGTATTTTAGGGGGCAGGGGCTAAAATTACCGTAATTACTGAAAATCACACCCTCCTTCAATTATTTCTATAATTGTTTGTTAAATTACTTGCATTATTTGTACTTATATATAATTATTAAAAACACTGGAAATATCTCATCCCTCCTGAACTCGAGTCATTTGCAAACACTTTCAGAGAAATTTCCTCTTTGCACAAGTTACTTAGTACCTATCTTTTCATGGGGTGAGTCGAATTTTCCTGTTGGCGAGCAGAGTTTTCCGGGTTGATGTTATTTTCGGAGATAAAAGATAATAAAGACATCTAAGCATGATCATGCCATATATGTTTGTGTAGATAAATTATCGTAGAAGACAATAATGGTTATGAAGTTTGCCAGAGTATTTTCTCTTTAAGTGTAAATGACTGCGATTCTTGAGGGGGGGGGGGGGTACTTCATGTAATTCCAAGTTAGATGCCTTGTCTTAATATTATCATTGGACTTTTGCGAGAAGCGCTGACTTTTACAGTCGATGGCTTACTTTTATGCTAGGGCAATCTACGGGAGCTCTTTTGCGATATAAATATTTAGCTGAACAATAAATTAAAAGGTAATAATGGGCAGTTTCGAAGCACATATTACGTTTCTAGGAAGGGAACTGCAACCATCCTATCCTCAACCACCTCCCTTTCCACCTTGATCAACTCCTGTCAAGTTTTCCTTTCGAAATGTTTTCTTTTCTTCCTTATTTAATTTCTTCAGCAAATGAGATTGAAGGGAGATACTACTCCTCACGAATAACATATTTTAAGTTATGTTATTCTGCCTCCCATCATCTCTTGTGTTGATTGTATACTGGTAGATCGTGTAAGCACGCCTAACACCTTACCTATAACCACTAATAATGTTTTCTTATCTATTATCAATTCCGTAGCTCCGTACATAACACAGGTTTAAATGTCAAAGTAAGCCGTCGATTGTAAAAGTCAGCGCTTCTCGCAAAAGTCCATTATACTATTGATTTAAAAATTTATTAAGAAACAGGTAGCGTCCTTCCGAACAAAATTTTAATTCTAAAGGATTTATTTTTACCTTTGTCAGATAACACAGCATCATTATGAGCATTTCTGGTTAATCTCTTAGATGGGGAAGATTCTGTAGTTGTTAGAAGAGGGTCAGTTATGCCATCTTTCTTAGTATGCTTAGTTTCATTTTCTGTTGTCTTGAGCTTAGTGGACATACTGAAAAAGCTGCGGAACGGGATAGTGGTAGTAATCTCCTCTATGACTATTTTAAACCTTTCTGACGAACTGCCTTTAAAAATTCCTCTTGCCAATGTTGGTAACTCTGCATGCATCATAATATCCTGGTGAACGACATGATCATAGTCAAACCCACCGACCTTACCTTTTCCGAATTATTGTGCTTCGGTTTTGTTTTTTTTTTCAGAAGGTACCAACCATGATTAGAACTTGTTTGATATGAATAGATATCTTTATTTGAATGTAAGTAAAGAACTCAATATTTTTATTATTATTATTATCAATGTCAAGTAAACACACCGTCTTCGTTTTCTTTTTAAGGAAGCCTAATCAGCAGGCGGTAAATCTAGTAAGTCGATTCCCGATTTCCGACTCTCTCGGATTAATGTTTTTTTTTTTTATTGAAATTCTCCGCATCGCTTCACAGTTTCGGTTCATACTTTTCCGGCACACTTATAACTATATTGAACTTAAATAACATAAAACATAAAATCTTCAAAAATGTTTCGAATGTTGGCATTTTAATTTTGGACTAAATTGAACAATGAAATATGTATCCGTTTTTAGGTTTCTGCATTTAATAAATGATTTTATCATGTGTTTATAACTTCTACTATAAATTTTACCACTTTTGGATGTAGCATTGTTAAAATATTTATGTGTGTGGGAATTAAAGAACAAAGTACGTTATTGGCTATATATGGCCTAGAAATTTTACGATTTTTCAACCACGGTTTTTGGTACAAGTCCTTTTTGTTTCGTTTACAGTAAGATCAAAGCTAATGTCAACTTGTATAAAAATGACGTAATGTGCAATAGTGACGTCATAAAACCACGCCAAACACAAGCTGCTCAGCGAAATCCGTTTATTTTTCATAGAAAATCAGTAAACTTTGATTAAATTAAATATTTTCCCATGCATTAACCACTTTTATATTTTGTGTATAAAATTGTTGGCTAAATATCTTTGTCCAGTGTTAAATTCCTGTCGGTTAATGAGTGGGAACAGTATTAATTTTTTTTATAAATAGTAAGTCTGGAAATGAAAATGCAACTTTAGCGTTCATGAATTTACACAGTACACTGTAAAAAATGTGTTTACAATTCAAACACTTTTCTAAACACTTTCTTGTCACCTCCTTTTTTATATGTTTAATTTCTAAACATGTAAAATTCCTAAACATGTCTTAGAAAGTGTTTAGAATTTAAACACTTGTGTGCTTAGAAATTAAACATATCTAAACACATAAACACAAGTGTTTAAATTCTAAACACATAACAAAAGATGTGTTTAAAATCTAAACACATCACAAGTTTAATTTGTACCTGCAGAAAAACAAAACACTCTCGTAAATTTAGGCTCAAAAAGTATATGTTATTTAAATGCGCATAATTGTCAAAATTTTCAAAATATGTAACCAATATTAATTATTTTCCATAAAGCCACTGAACGGTTGGGATATGTATTTAATTATACAATGCAATGGACACTGTGCGATGTACATGTACTTAATTTACACAAATAATGTAGGAGATAGAACTGAATAGATTTGATTAGTCTCAACAATTCAATCAGAATGACACATAATTTATAGCGTACACATAGATAACAAACTTATAATCTTCAAAATTATTAAGAAAGTAATATTAAGCTGACAATTTAATATCAAAACTTCATTGAATATTTTTAAAAGGCTTTATTAAAGAATTGTTAAACTAAAAATACAAAATGTATATTTATATATATATTTATTATAATCATTATAATTTGAATCGGCTGCAGAGTTTTCCTCGTGCCAATCAAAAAATATCAAATTTTATGAACTTTCAGCAAGTCCCAAAGCACCACATATTATAATCTATATCCCATCAATAACTGCCAGAAAGTAACCCATTTCGAATGACGAGGATAATTGTAAACACTGTCGAATTAACACAGTAGTCTTCAACAAATGAAGGTTTCAAAGTGTTGATTATGGAACAACAACATTGCACTTGAAGATGACACCAGGTACTCTGATACGTGTATTTTGAGTTCGATCTGGACTACAGTGCCTGTATGAAAGAATGCCAGATTTTAGAAAAAGTACACTATCACTGATATTTTACATTACTTAGAAAAACAAAATTGTTCAAGTTTTTGTGAAACTACACTGATATAAATATAGTTGTTTTTAATGACATTTAATATTATTTTCTCTCCTGCAAGTCTATGAACGAATTCAAGATATCTCAAGTCAACTTTATTTACGTTGCTCATCGTGGTTAATTAATGCAAAGAAGAAGAAAACAAACCTTTATTGTATTGCAGTAACAAGATGCCCTTTCACGTATTTCACTATTTCGTCATGGTTATCCCTTGAATTAGGCTGTCATATCTCTCATTGATACATCACCTTAGCTTGTTGTGTTTTCTTTGTTTAGATAGCCGCTCAAATTAACGTTCAAATATATGTGTGTCATTTCCGGGAAGATAACTCTGCACTTTACAGTAAAATGTGTTTAATTTCTAAACGCGTTTAGATATAAAACATGTTAAGACATAAGTGTTTAGTTGTTAAACACAATACTATACACGTTTAGATCTAAACATGTAATAGAAGTGTTTATTTCCTAAACACAATTTTTACAGTGTATTTACGTAGGAAACGAATAATATTATAAACAGCTGTTTTAAAATGTGAACACAAACAAATTCATACAGTATAGAATCCAAATCTGTTCATAAGATAAAAATATAAAGATGATATTTGTAGCATATTTTATTATTTTTCTATAGTTTATAAAATCCATTAAAATTAAGAATGATTATTCCATTGTCAGGAATTTCATTGTTTGCATGGTTTAGAATGCGCTACGTACAGCGTTATCATTCCTCAAAATGTGTGCATTTGATTGTGATCTGATAAATAATAAAAAAAAAATCTTTTAAGTAATCTTTTATGTTATTTTGCATTTATTCAAAAGTACATAGACTTTATATTACAAGTATATAGCTATCACCAGTTACTATGTGATTGTAGTCCTAATGGTTGTTGAAAAAAAGGCATGATGTGCATGTCTCGAGTCATTCCGCGTTTCCGAATTTACCTTACCACTGTACTTTGCACGAAACCCAACAATCATTAGCAACTATTACAATCAAAAATTAAAAGATATATAATCTTATAAATGCCGGCTTAATCAATAAATTCACGATGTTATTCATGAACTTGCTATCCTTACCGAAGAATTATCCGTATAAGAAACTTATAATATGACAAATTCTCATCCATGGCCGTAGGAACCGGGGGGGGGCACAGGGGGGGGGCCGTGCCCCCCCCCCCCCCAATAAATTTGCCGATATATAGATTACTATAGTAAACATAGATGATGTGTGCTTGTGCCCCCTCAAAAAAAAGTCTGCTGACCTTTTTTTTTTTTTTTTTTTTTTTTTTGCTTGTTAAGGAATTTTGGTAGTTGATAGTTGATGTTTTTTTTTTTTTTTTGCTTGTTAAGGAATTTTGGTAGTTGATAGTTGATTTTTTTTTTTTTTTTTGTTTTTTTTGTTTTTTTTTTTTTTTGCTTGTCAGGAAATTTTTTTTGGTAGTGCCCCCTCAACGTCAACTGAAAAATGTATGGCTGTGCCCCCCAAGCTGAAATTGCTTCCTACAGGCCTGTCATCGATGTCGTAGGTTTGTTTGATGTATGAAACAGGCCATATTATAGAACGGCAATTTCATAAGCTTCAGAAAGCTTTTTTTGTTATCGTTTTTAATTACATTGCAAAAATAAAGAAAAAAAGACCATATTTATGTAGCCCGATATGTGTACAATATGAGTACTGTGCACACAAGTTCATTATGTGTCAGATATTCTGTAACATTAGTTTTGTTTAAATGCCTGGCTTGTAAAAATACACCGTCAAACACTTCAATAATACACGTTTATCTTTGATCCGCTTCATCATAATGCTCGAATCTAGAAGGGGCTTGGAGTAAACCTCCCCCCCCCCCCCCCGTTAAATTTTCAGCGTTATAAAATTTCGTTGTAAAGTAGCGAAAAAATTAACCTAAGAAAACATCCCCTCCCCTTAGGAAACACGGACCCATTGTAACAAGGTAATAGGAGTCATGTATCTGAAGAAAACTGAATTAGGAAAGTGCCTTGACATAACCACGTATCTTCTTTATAGTCCATAAAATGAATTGAGGCAATATTCGAGGAATGAATGAGTAGTTTACAATAAAGAGACTCGACGACGGACGTCTGAAACGATTTATTAGAAAAGAAAAAAAAGCCTCTCTATGCAAACTATTTTATGAAGAAAAAAGATTGATGGTTGATAATCTAATAAAATTAGAGCTTGAAGTGGAGTGTGCCTGAAATGGAGTTACGTACCTTGAGGAAAGAGAATAAGGGGGTGGGGGTGGGGGTGGGGTGCTCTATATACGGAACAAGTGCCTGTGGAAAATATTCTAATTACCAGAATTAAATTCTTTGATTCATCATAATGATTAAAGATATGTGAAATATTTTAATTTTTTAAGATATGATTTACATGTGTAATATGAAAATATACGCACAAAGTTTGTACACTTACAAGTACCTAATAATAATGATCATAATCCCTCATATTTCTAAGTGTATTTTTTCGTATTTTTCTTTCAAATGGAATAGCACAGTGACAGTCTCAGTTTGACAACGATTTCTGGCCGATTCTTTCGACCATTCTCTATTTTTTAGCTTCACTTCTTCACATACTTAGAAAAACTGCTTCTGTCTTTTTAATATACTGGCGAGGACCGGAAAACATTTCACCGTCGCAAGCCATGGGTTTTGTGTCCATTTTATTTTCGAGGTGAAAAAGAATAGAAATGAAACCCATGTCATGATACGATGTAGACATTTATTAATGAAGTGTTTCTAAAGGAGTGAATTCAAGTTCGGAACTTTAGAGCATAGTCCAGTGCGCCGGCTGTGCCAACACAGCCGCCATTTTTAAGCAAGTCAGATTTCAAGCCAGTGTGTTTAAAACTTTGGAGGGGGGGGGGGTTAGGATCGATCGTAATGCAACACAAAAAGGAGGGCCTGGGGGAACGGCTTTGGGATAAAAAATTCCATACTAAATCAACAGCAGAAAACTAGTCTCGAAAAAAGGGGCAGTACCACGGGCCTGCTAACATTATAGAATAGGTGTTTATTCCTATTGCGTGTTCCATTACCTGAAAGTTTTATTTCATGCAAATAATTGACGTGTGTGTAATATGGACTTTCGAGTAGTGTGTGCATAGTATTTATTTATCCCCCCCCCCCAAAAAAAAAGAATAAATTAAAAAAAAAGTAAGTATATTGAAAAAATGAAAAATAAATTATAAAAAATCAAAGAATATGAAAATAACTCTATTAGTGTCGCTAAATTAAATACTGGTTTGAGTTGAGTACCAAGTCCGATTGTATCTTTTAAATATTTATCGAAATATTTATAAATTGGAAACTGTGGACCATCTCGACGATGCTGCACGTATTGTGGATGAATCGTAGTCCAACGGAGGAATGAATGTTGACTGTTTCTGGAATTCTGTTATTTGTATTATCTGTGTTAAAATTGTCTTTATGATATGCATTAATTAATTTCAAATATTATAGCTACCATCATTTATAATTATCCTCCGCTTTCCCTAGCCTCGAATTTTGTGTTTCATGTGTAATCAGTAAAATTGAGAACAAACATGTAAACATATACGTAACAAACAATATAAGTTAAATACTAATTACGAATAGAGTCTTTTTTCTGACATGAAGTAATCACATCACATTGAGTAAATAATACAATGTAAGTAAAATTAAAACTTTATAGTTGAAATTAAAAAAAAAAGATTAATATAATTAATTATGGGAAATCATGTACAGCATGTACATAGGTATATAGGTAACGGTGTATTTAATGAAATATTGAGACGGAAAGAGAGAGAGAGAGAGAGAGAGAGAGAGAAAGAGAGAGCGTAATAAAAAAAAGTAACTCGAGCTCCCGGAATATTTTTTGATAATGAGTAGTTGTTTTATGTCCCATGCAGGCAGTTTGATGATTTGATATGCATTACACATACATGTAAAATCCTGTCATCCCCACCCCATCTCGACCATGGCCCAAATGACAAAATGAAAACTTAATTGCAAATGAAATTCTTAAAATATCTTTGAATGGATTGATTTCTATTTTACAGACAATCGTAACATCATTTTTATACATATAGGACCTTTGTATGACGCAAGAGAGACGTGTACGTCATTGACGTCTAGCAAAACGAACGTCGGAACATTACTATCGCTTAAACACCACTTTTTAGCATTATTTGCGATGTGTTACACGTAATCAGATATAAGCAAGCAATATATTGTTAGAAAGATAAAGTTCTCAACTTTTGCCTCTGGTAAACATCAATGTATTTCAAGGTTCGGCGAAAATCGACCAATAACGTACCTTAGCATATATGCCCTAGAATTTGAAAGAGATTCTTTTTGGTGAAATGAAGTTTATTTATAGAAAAAAATCGCAAATTGGTATCGGAAATCAAAACTTGTTAATATTTATTATAGTATATGTATCCTTGTTGATATATTTATGAATGCGTGAATGCATTTGTGCCTGGCAAGTATGACGCGATTATGTTTAGCGGCATGAGATTGTCGGAGTCCTAATTTTACCGCCAGCCTTAAATAGAACATCGCGGGAAATCATAAAGGGGTGGCAGAATCATTCTGAGAATGGCACTATTGCAAGACGAAGCTATAAAGGATGAGTTTGATATATTTGGTATTGAATTGACACATGAAATTATAGACAAACGTAAGTTTCATTCTATTCCTTGTGTATATCATAGGGGCTTGGTTTCAGGATTGTGTTTTTCTATGTCTGTCTATTGTATATATAGGCATGGTAAAGGATTGAAATCACAATTATTTTTACACAGGGTGATTAGTACATAGCTGCAGATCTGTAGATAGCTGGTCTGAAAAAAAATTGGGATAGACGACCAGAGAGCTATGGTGCCACCCATTGAAAAAAGTGTATATTTATTGCGCACAAAGAAGTGTGCTGTTTCTCGATTTATTTCTTAGTACATTAAGTTACCATCTCAAAATATACAAACCCTGTATTCCTTACATATTTTTTCATAGATAGGACGTTCTATCGTTAAAATGATATTGCCCTACGGACCCGGTTTAACGATAGAATTCGTTCTGTGTATTGGCAATGTTGCAAAATAAACAAGGGCGATAACTTGAACTTAAAATTAAATCATAATTTAAAATTAATCATAACAAACCTTTTTGAAATTGTATATGCCTTTTAACCTAAAAAAAAATAATCCATATAAATATGAAAATTCAACTCATTTTCGGAAATTTCTCAACGTTTTTTCCTTGCTTCACATTTACATACCATATTGACATTTGGAACTCTCTGGATTGTTCATAGAAAATGCACAGAGTTCGAGTTATCGCCGATGTTTATTTTGCTACATTGCCAATAAACGGAACATATTCTATTGTTAAAGATGACAGTATTCTATTGTTAAACGGGGTCCGTAGGACAACATCATTTTAACGATAAAACGTTCTATCCATCCTGGGCCTGAAATTGAGACCATTGGAAATTTTGCCTTTTTATACTGTCATCTTGAATGGCAAGATGGGTCCAACGCACCTGGTACATGACTTGCATATACAGTTTTGTTGTGGAAGTATTAAAAGAATATGTAAGGATCACACGGTTAGTAATATTTTTATATACATACTGAGAAAAAAATTGAGAAACAGCGCTCTTTTTTGTGCTCAATAAATACAAACTTTTTTCAATGGGTGGCACTGTAATAGCTCTCCGGGTCAAATTTTTTTCAGACCAACGAGCTATAAATCTGCAGCTAATTAGTACACCTTTTACAAATCATTTGCAACTTTTTGAACTGTATAACTCTTCAGGTAAAAAAGTAACAGCATTGTAATGTGACTACCCCCTGTCAAATTTTATACCAATGTCCATGAAGTATGGGACTCTTTATTTTTAGTTATTTATTCAATTTGGCAAAAACCACATGTGGCGCAAGTCATACATACAGTAAACAAATATATAGTCACACAGATTTTCTTATATTAAATGCATCACGTATGAAGTTACAAATATTTCTTGTTGATTTAACATCTGCTGGATTAAGAATTTCATAAGATATACATGTATTGTTAAAAAGTGTACAAAATTCACTTCTTAGTTGTTCATAAAGTGGACATACAAATAAAAAATGATGTTCATCTTCAACAACAGTTTGACAATTAATACAATATCTTTCATCTCTTGGTATAATTGGGTTACAATATCTGCCAACCTCTATCTGTAATTTGTGGGCACTTATTCTTAATCGAGTCAAAAAAGAGTGAAGATTTTTGGAAATGGAAAAATTTAAATATGGTTGAATTTCAAGCTTGTTTAGATTTCCTTGACTTATTAACTGGCCGTAGAATGATAATTTGCCATTACCTTTTTCTTTGATATGTCTCATATCCCTAAAAACTATATTCTCAAAATACTTTTTCAAATTATTTTCAAAATCATTTATTGATAATGTATTAGCATTTGAACCAATAACTTCATCAAGTATAGTTTGTATACAGTTTTTCCAACATGTTTTTCCATTTCCTGCAAGTTTTCATCCTCTAAATATGCATGTTGCAAAAGCAAGTTTGAGTTCTCTTGATCTGAAACAATTATCTGTAATCTGTAATAATATCTAAATAATAATTTATACTTTCTGAAAATAATGGGAAGTGCACCAAACTCTACTCTAACTGCTAAATTAGAAGCTTTATTGTGGACACCTAAAATGTCTTTCAAGATGAAATTTTGAATTTTTTCAAATGGAGTTTTATCAAAGTCTTATATCATTTTTTTAAAATCACTTATCCAGATTTCCGAAGCATAAGTCAAAATTGGCATAATGCATGATTCATAGATCTTAAACTGAGCCTTTCCTGAGAGACTAAGATTGCTTGGTAATTTTGATTTGATTGTAAAATATGCTTTATGTAAAATATCTTTAAACCTCAGGAAAAAATGTAAAATTTGACAAGTTTTCAAGCACCATTGGAAGTGGTAGGATACGCATCAGAGACTGATGCACTTCCATTATTTTCATAGTGCTCAATAAGTCCATTTTTACATTCCCAAAACAATGTTTGGAAACATATTGTTTTTTCTCTGTTTCTTCTTCTTAAATCTTTTTTTCTTAATCTTTGTATTTTTTTTTGTCTGCATGCACAGATTGCAGAGTTATTAAAAGTATATACTGAAGCAAATAAATGATTACTTTGGACCCCCTTGACAAAAATGTGGACCCCACCACCAATACCACAGAATAAGCTTTTTTTCATATTTGCAAATGGATTTTTTTTTTCCTGCTTGTCAAGAAATTTCTGGTTGGAAATTTTTTGATGGTGGCACGTTTTTGTCACGCCTATGTCTTCTTCAACGATGTCCTGTGCAATATTGAGATCAGCTTTACCATTCGAAATTTTTACAGTTAATCAATAATATGAAGAACTTGCAGTTCAACATAAATTTTAAAATATTGAATGATAGAATTTTTTGCAAATTTAGTGTTTTGTTGTTTAAGTTGTCTTAAAATGTAGGTAATTTTCCCTATCCAGATGCAGTGTGACAGAAGAAATTTGCTTTTTTGAATTTTAAACCCTATTCATACTCTGAAAAATTTTAAAAGAAACATGTCCACTTACATATTTTTTTTATCTATGCTTAAAAAATCCCATTATGGATAGAGTAATTGACCCAAAAACATGGAGAATTAAACTCCACTTACATACTGTAGGGCATAGTATTTGTCAATCAATATCTCTTAAATAAGGTAAGAAACCTAATGACATAACTGCTTTAAGATACAGGGATGTGCAATTAGCATCGCCCGACACCCGGGGCTACCATTTTGGGGGGTCGGGCTAGTGGTTTTCTGCATGCAGGTAGCCCCTTGGGCTAGTAAAAATTAAAAATACCAATGTAATATATGAAAATCACTACCGGTGTTTTCACTCATTTTTTGCTATTAAATTCCCAACCAATGAAAAGTTTCCAGGCAGCATGCTCCAATTGTTCGTAAATCTCCATAATCTTATCCATTTTGCAGCACTTCCTAACTTATTTACTTCCAAAAACGATCATTTTTTTTCTAATCCGAATTTCCTCCAATCATGTGTTTATGGTAAATAAAGGCAGATATCTCATTAAATTATTTACAATCACTCAATCAACTGAAAGATAAGTGTTATGTGATTTACGTAAAATATATTTCCAGTGTTTTTAATAATTTAAGATGAAAAAAAAAATTATTTCACTTCGTTTTAGATGAGCTAGTGAGCTAGTGCAATTCACAGAAAAAGGAAAAATTATTTATTTAAATTCATTTTTATTTTCTATCATGATAATTTATACATGATACAATTTTACAAGTGAGAATTAAACTTTAATTTAAAAAAAATGACCTTAAAACTCTGACTTTTTTTCACAATAATCTATTTTTTTTTTGTGTTATTAAAGTTGTTCAATTATTATTAATTTACATTGTATTCTTCAGTATCTACTTGCTCTTTGTTTATTTACGTTTAACCATAATGGAATCTTCCACTGGAAGGGTCTAATTGCTAAATTTAAAAATGGGTTCTGCCCGGAGGACGATCTTATTAATTATCCAATCATATCCTGGGGTTTTCTATTTCTGTTTAAACGCCCTCTATCGGTGGCTAACTAGCGCCACCAATTTACGTCATTTTTATCCAATCAAATTGCGGGCTGCACTATTTTTAAATCCAACCACTGTTTCATCGAATCAAATCGCTTTATTCATCTATTTCAACCCATGTTTTGGTCAGTAAGCATCACTTTCCTAGAAAATCCTCTGAGGCAGAATCCACGTCGTTTGACTCTGTGATTTAAACTTGTTAAAATTTTTTTTTTTATTTGTGTGTGTGTGTGTGTGGGTGTGTGGGTGTAAGAGTGTGTCTATGGTTCATTATTTATGTCTAGTGTAGTAGTAATAGTTTAGATTATACCGTGATTGCATATTGCTGTTTATAACTTGAATATCCCTGTGAAACTTGCACTGTTGTGTGGGAAATTACCCATGATTACTTCATTGACTTATGTTTACCATTGTAACATTGCATAATAAATCATGGTTTTGCCCAAACTGTGTCTTGTCTACTTACAAGAGGAAATTAATCAATATTAGTTGTTATAACCCCCCCCCCCCCCACTACATTTGGGCTAGTAACATTTTACTTGGGGCTAGTAACTTTATTGCTGCCACTAGCCCATGGGCTAGTACTAACTTGATTTTTTTAATTGCACACCCCTGAGATATGTGGGACATACTTAATTAGAAATATGCAAAATATGAAAAAAAATGAATGAAGGGATTTTTCACCCAAGGTCCTTCACCTCCTTAATATGGAATTGGGACCTCAAAAGAGAAGGGGGATCATTTGAGAAACATCTGTTGTAGCAGTCTTTGTTACAATTAAAAAATAGTATCGTAATTAAAATCTTAACAAATAGTATTATTAAAAAAAAAAATCTGCATATTGTTACTGAACCAAATATGAATATCTTTAAAACATTTTCTGTTTAGTATTTAATCAGTTGATATATTATCAGTCAGGGGCATAATGGAACGTTCTACTTTCCCATTTGAACGGTGAACGAACGCAGAGCGAACCGTAGTGAATGATGTGTGAATGCTGAACACAACTTGGTGAATGGTGAGCGAACGCAGAACGCGAATG